AGGGGGAGGAGGGGGGGAGGGGGAACATTCTTACTACCAAGGAAGAAAGAAGGGTAAAAAGAAGGACCAGATTGGAAAGGGCACTCAGGGAGCAATTGCAGGAGCTTTATCTGAACTGGATGCCAGTAAACTATGAGCAGTCTTCCCACCTCCCCAAGACCCGGCAGTGCAGCAGCCATATCTGCCTCTGCAAGTAACATCATACCCCCAAGACACCAGAAACCTGCAGGGGCTCCAGCAACAAATAAGAAACAGCAACAGAGAAAAAAGAAAAGAGTAAAAGGTGGCTGGTGATAGGAATCTTCTCATTCCAGGCTGTTTTTAAGCTAGTCTCAGTGACACTAGGAACATAATAAAGGTAACACAGTGAGAAGCATAGAACTACTCCCTCTTTTATCCCATTTCCATAAATTAACTTCTTGTGCATCAAATAGGAAAACATCTTTCTCAAACTTGTCTAGTTTGATTTGGCCTACTTGTCCCACATAGTTTTGCACACATTATGAGGACTGAAAATCATCAGCATTACCCACCTTGATATCTGTTGCGTTCTTTGTCTTTGTTGATATCTTCTTTCCATTTCACAAATAAGGCACATTTCCTGAGGTTTCCCAGGATTTAAACAGAAACTGTTTCTGCTGTTTTAACTAGAGTCTGAAGATTGAAGACACTTGTTCCTACCAAGTCCCACTCTAAATTATGTTTCAGGAGGCTCTGGGAGACTAAAAGTGGAATCTTCTGAGCATTCCAAATATTTGCTTAGAAATATCATGGGCAAAAAGGGACCTTATTAAAACACTGGTGTTCTTCACTTAGCTAAATGAGTGGCCACAAACAGACGGCAGCCAATGTCTTAAATAATTTTAACCACAAATTCTCTGTCATGTGATGCAAGAACATGGGATACTTCTCCTTTATGTGGCAGCTTTGTGCCCTTTATCATTTGCATTTTCAGACTATGTTAACTTGCTGATTTAGCACCACTGAAGACTTTGAGAAAATACATCTATGCTGCAAGTAGTTCACGGTTAGACTCAGTGTCAGAGGTCAGAGGGGTTTGGAGTATTTCAATCAAAAAGATTAATGTTCCTATGGAGAATGTGAAAGATTAAAAAAAATAAAGAATATGGAAGTTGATGACATTATGTAGAGAGGAAATCAATACCATACAGTAGTAAAACCTAACAGAACTGGTTGACCCAATTAATGCACTTAAATGGCTCTTCTTTCTAGTTATGGGTTATGACAGTTCATTACCTTCCCAGAGTAATGAAGTATTTTACAGTGGCTTTGTGATGTAAATGTTGCTCATCTTTTGTTAGCTAAAGCCACTTTCATTCAACAGCTGTGAGACATGTTAGGGTACCTACCCTTGTTGGTATTCATTTTATGCTGCCCCAGATATCATTCATTTTAGACTTTTGAGTATTTCCTTGTGATCATATTACTCTTTCCTTGTTAATAAAGTGTTGCTGTGTTTGACTGAACATAAAAAAAAGTTACTGAGAAAAAAGTGAACATAAACTCTGTAGTTCCAATAGCTCTTAGTTAACTTAAAGATGACTAATATTGGTAAAGGGAGTGGTTATTGAGTACAAAGTTATACTCAGGAGGAGTAAGTTCTGGTGTTCTATTGTATAGTAGGATGACTGTAGTTAATGTTATATTGTACATTTCAAAAAAAATTAGAGGATTTTTAAATGTTCTTATCACTAAGAAATGATAAATATTTGAGGTTATACATATGCTAATTACCCTGAGTTGTCATTACACAGTGTATACAGGTACTAAAGTATTACATATCCCATAAATTTTTATAATTGTTGTATGCCAATTCAAAACAAATAAAACTCTTTAAAAGTTTAAAAAGTACTATATTAAAACAATGAAAACCGAAAGGCAACAGCATTTTATGAAAAGGATCCAGGACTCATATTTAAGAGACCAGGAGAGTTAATCTAGGCTCCATGATGAACTTGACGTGCAACAGCGGAGAAACCAAAAAATCTTTCTGAGATTTCCTCATCCAAAAATTAATACCATAGATAAGAATCTATATTGCTTGTCACATGAAAGATTTTGAAATGTTAATGAAATTCTAGAATGACATGAATAATCCCTTATTAGTTATACAAACACAATCTCTATTTAAAATGTTTTTAAAAGAATTATTTTTCATAAGACAGTAGTAAGGACACTCCATGTCATCAGCATAATGTGGAAGGCATCTTCAGGTGACTAATCTCAAGGATTTGCTTGAAATTCAACCTTGTTGTTTTTGAGTTGCCCAATTAGAAACTAAATGTATGAATCAGACCTCCCACTCAATTTTATCAACTTATTAATTTTATAAATTATGTGGTTCAGTTACACTGAGACAGAGATTCCTTGCACCCCAAGAAATTAAGAGAATATGAGCTCTAATCCATAATTCAAAATCATAAGGATATGACTGGGTAAAAATCCTTGCCCAGGAATTTGAGACTTTTTCATATGTCATAGCAAGTATTTCTCTATGTCATCAATGAAGTCTTGAATGTATTGAGTAAAAATAATAAAAGCAAAACTTAAGTAAAAATAATTTTAAAAATTAAAGTAAAAATAATAAAAGTAAAAATAATACATTCATTGTGTTTGGCTATATCATACATAAATCAGGTAAGTAAATATGAGAAAACACTACGTGCCAGATTTCCAGGCATCTTATTTAATGTTCATTAAAATATGGGGGGGTGCACAGGCACGTGTGTGTGGTCAAAAATGATCATAGAGATTAATTACTCTGCCCAGGGCTATGCACTGTAATTCATCATTGGTCTAAAATTAAATATAGGTTTTGAAATCCTATTCATTGTTCCCCCCACTGCACTGTTTCTCTTCACAGTAGAGCTTTGCACTAATAATAGTAACTCTTACGCATCTACTAAGTGTAATGCAAGGCACTGTGGGAGAAAAGAAAATATTTACCTATGGAATTCTTAATGCCTAGTTTATAGGAAAACCACAGGAAAAGCACTGCATGACAGAGGCAGCATATATTAAAATAGCAAAGGAGTAGCATCAGCCACAACATACAGAAAAGCTCAAACATTGAGCCCTTCCCTACAATGACATCTCTGCCAGCTCTCATTGTGCAATTATGGTGGTAAACACTGGACCAAGGTCACTCACCAGCTGTTGAGAGTGGAAGGCCACTCTGGAAGCAAGCTCCTACATTTTCTTTTTTGGTTCCAATTGCTGCTGATTCTCTCAGTCCCGATGCAGTTCTCCATGAGTAAAAATGTTTTAGTTTTATTTTGTCTCCCAGATGCTGGCTAGCCAGCTGTTCTCATCTGTGGTTTACAGAAGGTCCTCCCTCCTCTCTGTGATGTGTTCTATTTCTTCTGCATCTTTTAATCCATTTTTTCTCCTCTGTCAGTTCACTCCTGGTTCCCAAGTAATGTTCTCTCACTTTGATTTCTCTCCACTACCATTTCCCAGACTCCAAGCACTTTGTCCTGGAAAAGTTGAGTTGCTGGCACTTGCTGCTCCATCATTTCTTCTTTCTCCCTACTAAAAATAAAAAAATCTCTATATAAGCTACAAGCTCTCCTCACACTTCTAGACCTCAACCTCTAGTACCCCTCTCTAGAAAATGAGGGGGGAAAGGGTGGGAATATAGAATATGCACACATAATATATAAACAAACATAAAACACAGTTATGCATACATATAGGAATATAAGGAATCATGGCAAATAAAAGATCCCTGAGTTTTCCCAACTCTCATAAGGCAGAGAAAGGTGTCACAAAGGGAGAGGAAAACAAAAGCCACATAGTGGAACTCTACAAAAGGTTTATAAAAGGGATGAAGAAACTAGATGAGTTCAAAGAAAAAATGAACCAAAAGTTCACATCAATTTCACTATAAATATGCACATGGTGAATACAAGCAAAATGAGTAAAAAACTGGATGAGGTAACAAAAGCAGTTCTCACTTGAAAATTAGAGTCAACAAGGATACAGAATCCCCCCCAAAAAAATGCCACAGAAATATTTGAAATAAAAAACTGTATAAAAAATTCATAAATTGCAGAAATGACCAATGTGAAGAAAGTGTCTAAAATTGAGGTCAAAATAGTGAATTATGATGAAATGCTCAACAAGGCCACAAAGAAAATAAAAGAAAATAATCCAGCAGCTACTAAATGACAATAAGTAGACCAATCTAAGTATAATTAGAGTCAAATAAAAACCAGAATATAACACAGATGGATATACTAATATGCTTAAAGAAATCATGGAGGAAATTTTCCCAAATATAAGTTTAAAATACAAGTAAGCAACACTACAGAACACCAAACAAATATGATGAAAAAAGAAACTCACCAAGGAATACCATTATTCAGTTACCAGATATCCTAAAAAAAGCCTAGAATTTTAAAAGCAGTCAGATAAAAATAAAAAATTACATTTAAAGGTAAACCAATTAGAAACACAACAGACTTTTCAAACACAAAGCCTAAAGCACAGAGGAGATTGCAGGGAAGCATTTCAAGATAGAAGAGCAAATAATATCCAACAGACTAATTTATCCAGCAAAGCTATCCTTCAAAGTAGATGGAGAAATAAGGTATTTCCATGAAAAAGACCTGACTGAAAGATATTTGAGTGCTAAACAAGCATTCAAGAACATACTTAATAATATCCTTTTTTAAAAATAAACTGAATCTTTATTGGTACATTTTAGATATACAATACAATTACATTCATCATTGCTATCTTGTACCTTTACATGACATATCTTGGTTCTTATTTTTTCCCTATTCCCCTAGCTTCCCCCTCTTCCCTTCCCTATTAACAAAGACTGTTTCCATTTTCTTCCTTTTCTCTTATTTTTTCTCTTCCCTTTTTAACTTTCCCCTACCACTCCCATTCACCCAATATCTTTAGATCTTTTCTTCCTATTACAAAACATCAATTATACATTTTTATTCTTATTTACACTTTTAGTTTATCACACCAGAGAAACTATATGGTATTTACACATATAAGTCCTATTAATTTCACTTAAGAGTATGTCCTCAATGTGCATCCACTTAGCTATAAATGTCTCTAGTGTCTCATTCTTTATTTCTGAGTAGTACTCCCTTTTATTAAAAAAAATCTTTATCCACTCCCCAGTTGATGGGTAATTGGGCTGTTTCCAAATTTTACCTACTACAAACTGTGCCGCTATAAACATGGGTGAGCATGTATCACTGTTGTATGATTCTTTGAAGTCTTTTGGGAAGATACTCAGCAGAGGGATGGCTGGTCAAATGGGACTTCCAATCTTAGTTCTGTAAGGTACCTCCATATTGATTTACACAGTGGTTGCACCAGTCTACACTCTCACTAACAATGAAGAAGGGTTCCTTTCTCCCCACACCTCAGCCAGCATTTGTTATTGTTTGATTTCTTGATAGCAGCCATTCTTTCTGGGGTAAGATGAAAACTCAATGTTGTTTTCATCTGCATCTCTTGAATGGCCAGTAATGTTGAACATTTTTTCATATATTTATTTGCTGCTTTTACTTCTTTGTCTGAGAAGTATCTATTCATTTCAGATACCCATTTTTGAATTGAATCTTTATATTTGGGGGACCTGATTTTTTGAGTTCTTTGTATATTCTAGATAATAGACCTTCGTTTGAGGAACAGCTGGTAAAAATTTTTTCCCACAGTGTAGGTTGTCTCTTAGTTCTGTTGAGGGTTTCTTTTGCAGTGCAGAGGCCTTTTTAAAAGATGAGATCGCAGTTGTTCATTCTTTGGGCTAGTTCCCATGCTACTGAGGATTTGTTCATAAAGTCTTTTCCTATGCTAATGTCTTCAAGAGTTCTATCTAGCTTATCTTCTCTTTTTTTGGTACTGGGGATGGAACTTGGGACCTTGCACTTGTGAGGCAGGCGGCGGAATCACTGAGCTAAATCCCCAGCCCTCTAGCTTATCTTCTAACAAGTTTAGTGTTTCTGTTTTAATATTTAGATTTTAATCCACTTTGATTTTAGTTTAGCATGATGAAAGATAAGGGTCTAATTTTAATCTTTGGCAAGTTGAAATCCAGTTTTTCCAATACAATTTATTGAAGAGGCTATCTTTCCTCCAGTGAGGATGGTTGGCTTCTTTGTCAAAGATGAGATAGCTGAGTATGTCTGGAGTTATTTCTGCATCTTCTAATCTGTTCCCCTGATCCTCAGGTCTGTTTACTGTTGTTAACACCATAGCTTTGTAGTATAGCTTCAAGTTGGGAATTGTGATACCCCCTGCCATGTCTCTGTTGCCTAGAATGGCTTTTGCTATTCTAGGTCTCTTCTAGTTCCAAATGAATTTTGTATTGTTTTCTCTAGTTCTGTGAAATATACTGTTGGGATTTCAATAGAGATTGCATTAAATCTGTATAGCAATTTTGGTAGTATGGCCATTTTCACTGTATTGGTTCTTCCTACCCAGGAACAAGGGATATCTTTTCATTTTTGTATATCCTCTGTGATCTCTTTTTTTCAGCATGCTGTTGTAGTTCTCTATGTAGAGGTCTTCTGCTTCCTTTGTTAGATTGATTCCTAGGTACTTAATAATATTCTTGACAAGAAAGGCAGAACCAACAACACAGCCAAAAACACAAATGACAGAAATCCTCCAAATAAGATGAATGGATAAATGGAAGCAAAAAAGTTAAGAAAAGAAAAACAAAAAAATTCACTAAAAGATAAAGAAGGCAATGACATTAAACAATCAACAAATCTCAGTACTATTTCTCAATGTTAGCAGACTCAAATCTCCAGTTAAAGGCACAGGTTGGCAGGCTGGGTTTTAAAACAGAATCTATCATTCTGTTGCATACAATAAACTCATTTAATCAAAAAGATATTTCTAGACTAAAAATTAAAGGATGTAAAACAATATTTCATGTACCAGAACACCAAAAAGAAGCAAGGGTAGCACTTCTAATATTAGATATGATAAAATTGAAACTAAAAGTGATTAGAAAAGAAAGTCACTACATACTAAAGGAATAATTCAACAAAAAAAGAGATAACATTGATAAATATATATGCAGCAAATACTGGAGAACATATCTATATAATACCACAAAATTATGAATTTAAAAGATCACATAAACACTAACACAATCATAGTAATGATTTTAACACCCCACTTTTGCAAAGAGATCAACTAAACAAAAAAGCAATAAAGAAGTATCATATCCAAAATACATCCTTGAACCTATGAGCTTAATAGACATATTGACAGTATTCCACCCCTCTACAACAGTGTATATCTTCTTTTTAGTAGCACATGGTGCTCTTTCTAAACCATATCACTTACTAGTCCACAAAACCTGCTTATGTAAATATAAAAGAATTAAAATTACCCCATGCATACTATCACACCACTGTGCAATGAAAATAGAAATCAATGAGAGAATAAACTTCAGAAAAGGCAAAAATCTCCGGGAAAATTAACAACATACTCTTAAACAACCAATGGGTCACATAAGAGATAACAGAAGAAATTTTAAAATTTCTAGAGTTTGATGACAGTGACTACACAACTCAACAAAACCTCTGGGACATTATTGAAGCAGTTCTAAGAGGAAAATTCATCACAGTCAACATTCAAATTAGGAAAACAGAATAATCCCAAGTAAATAACCTTATGAGAAATCTTAAAATACTTGAGAAACAACAACAAACCAACCACAAGCCAAAATTAAGGAGGGAAATTATAAAGAGATAGGAGAATTCAATGGAATTGAGGAGGAATGCAAAGGAAGTATAAGAGGAGGGAACAAATATGATTAAATGAAAAATGCCACATTGCAACTCAAGATCTTGTAAAATAAGAAATACATTTTTTAAAAAGAATTGAAGAGCAATACACAGATACAGGAAACAGTAATGTCCTGGCCATGGAGGAGAGGATAGAACTCACAGCATTCATTTTGTTGCTGTGTTTCAAAACGTACACCCATATGCTATATACACAAATATACAGATTGCATGCAAGCACTTGAGGATATTTAGTAAGATATATTCAGGAAACAATTAGTAGAATCTTTTGGGGATACAGAGCCTATATTTTGAGGAGCAGGGAGAAGATTTGACAGGTGCACTTAGTTATAAATAAGATTGACTTGAATACAGCAAGGCACCAACTTCCTCATCTCTACCAGCCCTGCGGGTTTCACCTTGAAGACACATAACTTACAGTATGCAGAGTGATTCGAACTAGTTAGTGTCCCAGAGGCTAGACATGATGTTTATCAGTTTCATTGCTGAGTTCCCAGAGCCTAGGACATGGACTCACATATAGTAACCACTTCTAAATTAGTATTTATTAAATACACAAATGAAAACAGCAAAGGCAAGAAGGACAAGGAAGAAAGAAAAGTTACTTGTGCTTCATTTTCTTTTCTCTTTTCTTTTTCCCCTCATTGAGTTTATTGGTACTTTCTAGGTATACAGTACAGTTACATTCATTATTAGGATCTTGTACGTTTACATGACAGGTCTTGGTTCTCATTTTTCCCC